GCTTTGTCGGAGGAGCGCGCGCAGCCGGCGGCTTTCGGGTAGTGGTTCTTTTCGGTGCTTCGGCAGCCTTCAATTTCTCAGCCTTCTCCCTCTCCCGTGCATCATATTCCTCTTTTGAGGGCATCTTCAACGTAACCCGCTTTAGGCCTGAAGTAAGTGCGTCCATGCCATCGTTCTCCTTGTCTTTAGGGGCACTGGGTTTGACAGACTGGGTTGAAGGCATTTTTGTAACGGCTGGACGTGGAGGCGCACGAGCTGCTGCAGCTGCCGTCGTTGTTGAGCCCCGTGCTTTCTTCATCGCAACTCCGTTGGCTGGAGCTGCAGAAGGCGCAACACTTCTCCGGCTTGCTGCTACACTTGGCGCACGACTAACACCCCTGTTATCGCCTATGGAAGAGACGCTCGAAGCAATACTCATGCGACGAGAAGCAGAGCTTGCTGCAACTGAAGCTTCTGAGCTGGCTGGTGCAAAGTCGGCTATGGTCTGCCGCCTACTCGCCTGTGACTCTACACGAGATGTCTTTTCGTCGTCCGAACCAGGCTCAGCGTAGGAGGGAGCGGCTTTACGACCACGCAGTTGTCGCCCTGATGTATCTGTGCGGGCTGGGGCCGCAGCAGACGCAGCAGGCTTCTCCTTTTTGGCTTTGACCTCGGCCAAATCCTCTGGTCGGTGGCTACGAGTTTGGCGATCCGATGGTACCAGCAAAGTACGCAGAGCATGGGCGGCAGTAGCCCAGTCAACCTCCGGTGGTGGTGGGGTGGGCGCTCTCAACGGATTTGAGGCGTACTTGGCGGAAAGGCTACGATTGATCTTGGTTGGATCCACGACTTTGGCTACGTAGGACTGGGTGGGCGAAGAAAAATGGGCCAGACGGTCAGTGCGTGTCGTCTTCGAGACATGTACGGGCGGGGGCGGAACGAGGCCATCCAATTCAGACAAACGATCTGTATGCCACCATAGGGGATCGTAGCTGACGGGCGTGAGCTCTGCTTCGACAGACTGCATGGGAACGTCTTCGTCCTGTATGCTGATTCCACTAAGTCTGTTGCGCATAGAGTGAGAGAGGCCCGTTGATGGTTCTGAGGCCTTCAAGACTTGGCCATCCACGAGGCCGCTCAAATGACTGAAGACACCACTAGTGAGCGCTCGATCGCTGTACCCGCCCTCCAAAACTGAGATGACACGCCCTTCCACAGATGTGCCCTCTTCTTCAGCCAACCGGACCACATCCCGAGTGAAACGAGCGTAGAATTCAGTAGGCACGTTGACGCTGTGGCGTTGCATTCCAGCAGTCTCCCATTCACTCGCATCGAAACCAGCGGATAGGAAGATGGCTGCTTTGGGGGCAGGTTGATTTGGTGTGGACCGTAGGCGGTTGGTGTGGTGTTTGAGATATTGACGGGTTTTCTCAAGTAGTACCAAGTACTTCTCCTCATAAATTTCCCAGAACTGCTCGGGTGTCTTCCAAGATTGTAGATGGACGTTCCAGATAGACTGACCGTGGGCGTTGTCTATACACAGACTGGCCGCCTGGACTTTGTCATCGTCGCCGTCTTCACATGGGTATGAGTTGATGTCGTGTAAGCTGAAGTAGCCGATTGAGGTCTTTTTCCAGTTGGGGGTGTTTTTGGGCATGTTCTGGACCTTCTTGTTACGCGCCCATGTTATAGCCTGCGAGCCGTCTCCGTGATGCAGATCAAAGTCAATGATGGCTGCGTGAGTGAGCCCATATGTCATCATAGCGTGTTCAATGCCAACGTGAACATTATTCAGCCAGCAGAAACCCGAGGGAAAGTCGTCAGAGCAGTGGTGGCCAGGCGGACGGATGCAGACGAAAGCTCTAGAGGGGCCACCACCTAGACTTGTTCCCTGGAAGACAGCGTCCACAGCGTCCAAGACACCACCCAGAGCACCCTGAAAAGCGTTGAGGGATTCGGGACAGAGGTAAAGGTCACCCGCATGCAGTTGCTGCTTGGGCGCTTGTCCAGGAACTGGAGGAGCGTCCCTGGCCAGCTCCTTCCCAGTTGATGCGAGCTTCCGCTCCGCATTGTCGCAGAGTGTCTTGAGTTCGCCCATCCATTTCGTTCCGTGTACGTTTGTGACGACCTGCGAAGTGATGTCGACAGCGCGCGAAGTCTTGCGAATCTTGAAAGGTACCCGTTCGGGTGGGTTATGGTGTGGATGTGGCGGGTTGTCTCCCTCAGCGTGGCGCTCTCCGAGCCGTACGTAGGCTGCCGATATACCCAAGACACTCGCCAGGATTCTCTCGGGTCGCTCCATGATCAAGCTGAGGTGGCTCTTGGATGTCTTGGGACGTGAGAAGCGATGGCCGTAGCATTGGTCGTGCACAATGACGACAGTTCCTGCGTTGACTGCGCCTGCCATGCCCTCATGTCGGACCAGCTCCTTCTTAAAGTACTCCTCGGCGACATCACATGCGCGCAGAGGTGGCTTCTCTTCTACATGTGTGGGACCCAGCGGGCTCTTGGGCATGGGTGCCTGCATATTCGGATTGAACGACGACCGGCGGGAAGCGGAACTTCGGGGAGTGCCCGGTCGAGGAGGATCGCCGCGGAGGGAAGAGGTCGAGGTCTTCCTGCCCAGGGTGGGCGTAGAGGAGCGGAAACTGGCTACACTGGGGCTGCGCTGGATGGCATTGGCTTTGAAATTGGGCGTCGAGGGCGTCCGGCGCAGGTCAGCGGAACTCCTGGGCGAGTTCAAGGCGGGGGACTGCGGTAGCGGGGTGTTGGAGGCCGAGTGCAGGGACAGGCGTTTGAGCGGGTGTGAAAGGAGGTTCGCGTCGCTGTTTGTTTGTCGCGCCCCGCGTGGAGTGCCAGGCCTCGCGGCGGCGGGGCTGGACCGCGGATGGTTCGACATCTTGGCGCTCTCTGCCTGCGGTGCAGGACGTCGCCCGTCGTATGTGCGGGCGTACGGTGTCCCGTATCGTGTGTCTTGGGGTGAAAGAAGAAAGGCGCGCTATGACGGAGCCATAACGCGTGCAGGCCACCTGCGTCCAAGCAGCCCTGGAGGGTCCCGCCCCTAAGCGAGCCCCTAGGGCAGCAACGGTCAGTAGGGCTGTCTCTTCACATGTGCTATCATTACGTGAGATCTAGCCATTAGACGCGAACCTCATCGATTGATTGTCTAGCATCTACCATTTTCTGACATACCTAGGTATATCCTTCGCCATGTATTAATCCGAGCTCTGCTGCAAGATCCAACCCACACCCTCCTTCAGATCCACCAATGCCTTCTTCGCAACGCTGTGCATGGGAAAGAAGTCGGGTGCGCCATGCGGTAGCCCAGTGTATACCTTCACTTTGGTTGGTGTGCCGGCATCTTGGAGTAGACTTTCGTACACGAGCGCCTCATCACGAAGTGGATCAGTCCTGAGTTCGTCAGCACTGTTCAGCATCTACGACATATCGCACCCACCCCATAACCTGTAGATACGTAGCGGGTTGGCCTTTATGGGTCTTCCAGATCAACGGACTCATCAACGGTGACATAGGATCTGGTTTGTAGTTGCCATAGAACCATTCAATGGCTTGTCGGCTCAGTACCAGGCCGTCTTTGTGGTCCTCCCAGCTGGATATGTGTGGCTTGTATTCTTCTGGCATGGCTTCGCGATGGCACAAGGGGGCAGACAGGAGGACGACGCCAGTCACCTTCGGAGACAGGTTGTCGTCAACAACTTGATGAGCTGCTACAGCTGCCAGATTACCTCCAGCTGACGTTCCTCCCACGATGAAGCCTTTAGAAGGGTTGGCGCCCAGCGACGCTGCATTCTCGCCACACTCAAGATGTGTAAATCAGTCTCTTGGAATTGGAAGAAACGACTGTGCATGCACTCACCCATTTAACTGCATCAATCGCGTCATGCGCGGCAGTAGGAAAGACGTGCTCAGGCCCGTACCTATACCCAACGCTTACGACCGTGAAGCCCAACTCTTTCACCAATACTTCCGCCATACCCTCGCCATACTCTGGCATCCCAAAGCTCCACCCTCCGCCGTGGAAGTATACATACAATGGCCCTGCCTCTTTTCCCTCTGGATGGTACGCGAGCGAACGCATCGATGCGCCGTCGCGCGTGGGAATCTGAATTTCGGATTTGTGGTACCCGGTCCAGTCCGGGAAAGTCACAATACCAGCTGCGATCAGCTGAGCGATTTGCTCATTGAAAGACTGACGCAATTCGACAGCCGATGAGTAGTCTTCGAAAGACTTGCTCAGTGGTAGATTGGGTAGCAGCTTACTCTGTTAGCGAAGTGCGTGTATGGACTTGCTTATGGCTCGCACAGCTTCCAATTCGGCGTCCATCTTGCTGTAACCCTTCCATGTTGACGAGTCGATCGGCATTTTTAATTGAGTTCCGAGACAATTTGCACTTGAAGGTAAGGTAGATAAGATCAGAGGCTTGTTTTGAGAACTTGAAGAAGAGCTGTGGACGGGCGCGGGGTTTGTACAATACACAGCTTACGCCTTGCATTAGGTAGGCACGCCTAATGCGAGAGCCAAGCAGGCAGCCTCGTACACTCTTTTGACAACTGCACCTACTCAGTCCAATCAACGCGAGTAAGAAAGCCTAGCCGTCATTCCATGAGTACAGACACGCCAAAAGTTACTCCCCGTTGGTCCCTAATCTGCGTTGCTCCGGCCGTAAGCTGCGGGGCGTCCCTTCCTCTGCCTTCCCTCGTACAAGCTGACTCACTCACATAACCTGGGCCCGCTCCCGCATGTATACAAGCCCCTCTCTACTCAGATCCGGTCAAGTTCTGGTCAAATCCCCGATGCACCTCGTGCAAGGGAAAGCCGAACAGATGCGCTGTAGTCTACACTGATACTGAACCCTAAGCTGACCAAACCCTCAAGGCATTACAGACTTCCAGGAGGTTGACGTTCAATTGCTTCCTCATATGGAGTAGATGCGTAGTCGCTGAGTGACCACAGCCATACTATTGCGTCATCGGATGTATAGTTGTCCACGGCAAAGCGTCTAGGAGCTCTTCGCGGGAGGTTGCCGACCGATTTGTGGGCTTGTTGAACGCTTTCGTTTCAACGGTGCATCATCGTTGTGCTTGTCCGTGTCTTGATTCTGTTTAAAACTAGCTGAGGGATGGATTGCTGGGATTTCATTCGTTTCTTCGGCATCGCTCTCAGGCTCGGTATCGCCGCCGGTATGCTCGTCCGTAGCGATCCCAGTTTCTGCCATGGAGAATGAAAGTCCAGTATGTGCCTGGCCGGTCTCTTCCGCTGGCATTTGGGGAGGTTCTGAGACGGTGCCTTTGGCATCTTCACCAATCTTTGGAGATCCATGTTCAGGTTGCTGGTTTGCCGCTGCACTTTGGATCTCCTCTTGGAAAGCATTTACCACTTTAGCATACTCTCTGGCTAAGACTTTGCGCAGCTGTGGAAAGATCCTGCGTAGCTTTATGCACTCGTCCGTTGTCGCAATCCGGGTTGAGGCGATATGTCGAAGTGTACAGTCAGTAGTGAGCTCGCCAGGTTGTATCTCCTCCTCATTCGCTATCTTCTGACGAAGCTCTACCAGCCGATCGTACAACGCTCTCGAATCAGTATCAAGTTCCGTCGTCACCTCATCATCTTCCTCCATCGAAAAGAACCAACTAGCTTGTCGACTTCGCCATGCGGGTGGATGGACTGCAAGTAAATTGGCTTTGGCTCAGGAAAAACACCCGAAGTGTATTCTTTGTAAGCCCTAGTTTCTTCTACCCGTGCTGGTAGGGGCGGACAAGGCTGCATGTTCAGTCGTAACGCATTCAGCCGATGGTAGATCATAAGTCCTGCATATGCATCTGCAACGGCGTACTGTATAAGCTCTTGGTTTGTTTCAAGCGGCGCCAGCCAATCTTTGTGCATGTGCTCAGTTTTCTTCAACGTGTATCCCGGGAAGTACTTCTCGACCAGACCTCTGAGACCTCCTGGATAATAGGAAGAATTAAAGTTTGGCCTGCCCGGATTGACCAAGACTTGGAAATAGCTCAGCTCGATCGCGCCCTTCGGTTATAGTTGGAAGTACTTGTTGAGTCGGTAGAAATCTCCCATGATAGATTGGCCAGTCTTCAGTACAGTGGGGCTCTCGATGAGCGTGCGCAACGACGGCGCAATGAGCTGATCGGCTGCATCTCCGTCATGACGTCCGATGTGAAACAAGGCTATTTTGCTCTCGCTCGCAACCTGGATGAGCGCAACTCTTCCCTTGAGAACTTCTGTCTCTGGCCAAACCCATTCCATGTCAAAGCCAACGACAGCCTCATCGAGGAAGTCGCGCGCCAATTGTTCGGATTTGGTCAAGTTGTCGCTGCAAAGAACCTCAGGGGATAGATCTTGTGGACCCTGGAAACAATCGTGGCTGAACAGCACCCGCGAGCCATTGGGCTTTGGCTTCAGACGGAAGGAGCGAGGCCATGGGGAGTCCACGGCGCCGGCCATTGCCGCCATGACTTAGTCGATTATGGTAACAAGAGCTTCGCAAAAAGCATAGGTAGCGAGACGGTAAACTTCAAAAGGCGATAAGAAAGCGAAGGCGAGCAGTGGGGCTGCCGTTGCTAGTTCAAGCTTAGTGTTGACCCACGCCTCACTCCGCTTTCCTGGTCCGGCCTTCGGAGCCGCTCCCCTCATCAGCCCAGGAACAACAACCTCTTCGCCCTCATCTTCAAGACGCAATGTGAACCCACGAATCTCTCGTAAGCGAGAATACTGTTACAGCTATTGGAATATGTGCAACCCACTTATTGCATGAAGTTCACCGATCGGATCTTTTTGCACATGCAACGACGGCTATGTTTTTCCGCTGCGTCAAGACGCCATGACAACTAACAGCAGCTGAAGAAATGTCTACTGACGCGAATTAGTGTGTAGATGCAGCATGTTTTTAAGCTCCCACGAGACGTTATAGGCGATCTGAGTTGCAGTTCACAATCGTGGCGGGCGCACGCGTACTTGGGGATACGGCTTAGGCCCAATTGAGGATAGCCCCAGATCCCCATCGTGCTGGTCGTGGAATCTACTCATGTAGTGGCCGCCACAACCTAGGTACCATCGTACATTACTCGACTGGCATCTTGACTAAATCTTGACCAGCTACGAACTTTCTATCTAGACAAGCCATGGTGTTGCTAGGAAGGTCCCCACCCTGCCTCACAGCTCGCCACTGCCCGGGATCACGCCCGGCAGCACCAGACTGGCGGGCTCATGCGCTCTTTACTCGTGGCAAAGGAATCCAGGATGTTATAAGAAAGTGCCCGCGAGTCGTGCTACGATATTGTTTCTCGTCGCACCTGTTTCGTTGGCACTTAACATCCAGCCATGATGCGATTTAGTCAATTTGTTCTCCTGGGGTTCTTCCCAAGCGTACTACTTGCGCAACAGACATTCGAGTCACCCGAATTTGATGTTACTGCTGCGTTATTGGACAATGGTGTAAACGTCTCCAATATTCCCGCTCTAGCCGATCTATCCAAGCGAACCAGCTCAGGCTCATGTCCGGTTGCTGTAAGTCTCATCTGCCTTCACGCATTATCTCTTCCAGGTATGGTGCTAACCACGACTTCAGTGTAGATCTCTTAAACGCATCTTTGGTGATGCGAAGGTCGAGACTCAAGAAGAGACAGGCTACGGCGTAGCTGTGAACTACTTCTGGTCACAGCAACAGCGCGAAGCACAACCGTATTGCGTCTTCAAACCCGAGGAAGCACGCGATGTGTCTACTCTCGTTCTGCTGTCGCGTCTCACTCAATGCCCTTTTGCAGTACGAAGTGGAGGGCATGCAGCATTCACTGGAGCATCGAGCAATGATGGTGGCATCACGGTCATCTTCGAGCGCATGAAGAATATCACCCTGTCGAAAGACAAGAAGGTTGCTGCGATTGGACCCGGTAGCCTGTGGTACGACATCTATTCGACTCTTGCCGAGGACAACCTTGCGGTGATAGGTGGCCGCGTCTCTGCTATCGGTGTCGGAGGTCTCACAACAGGAGGCGGCATCTCGTTCTTTTCTAACGAATACGGCTGGGCATGCGATAATGTTGCGTCTTTCGAGGTCGTTACCGCTTCGGGTCGCATCGTACAAGCTAGCCCGAAGTCCTACCCAAACCTGTACTGGGCATTGAGAGGTGGCGGCAACAATGTCGGCATCGTCACGACCTTCAATCTCGAAACTTTCGCTCACGGCCCGTTGATGCTTGGAGGGCAGAGAAGGTTCTTTGAGGAAAGCTTCCCTGCTGCTATCGATGCCTTCGTGAACTTGGGGTCGAACAAAAAGGCCGATCCAAAAGCTGCTCAGTTCTTGGCCATCTTCCTGGATGCCGCTTCGAACACAAAGATCGCCGTTGCCGAGCTGGAGTACTCTGACCCAGTTCTCGACGCTCCAGTCTTCGACGAGTACCGCGCAGTCCCTGCCTTTCAGGACACCTTACAATTGAACACCCTGGCTAACTTCACGCAAATGCTGAACGACAGCAACCCCAAAGGCTATCGAGACTCATTCTGGACTGCTTCATCCAAACTAGACTACGGGATGGTAGAGTTCATGTTCGACGCCACGTTCGAAGAGTTCGAGAAGATCCGAGATGTTGCCGGTATCCTACCTGCAAACACCTTCCAGGTCATCACCGTCGCACAACTCACGCAGATGCAGAAGAAGGGCGGGAACGCACTAGGCCTTGTGCCGTCCGACGGTCCGATTCTCCTCATAAACTTGAGTAGCCGCTGGGACAAAAAGGAGGACGACGAGCGCGTGTTGAAGGCGAACGCCAATATTGTCAGGAAAATGGAGGCCGAGGCGAAGCGCAGGGATATGGTCAATGACTACATCTACATGAACTACGCCAGCCAGTTTCAGAATGTCGTTGATAGTTATGGGGAAAGCGCGGATAAGCTCAGGGCTATTGCGCGCAAGTACGACCCTACTGAGGTCTTCCAGAAGCTGCAGCCGGGTTACTTCAAGCTGCAGGGGCCGCCGAATAAGAACTGGCCATGATGGCCGCATTCAGAAAATCTTCCAGAGGGACAGAAATCAAGCTTATATCTGTATGTTGTAAGATTGATGAACACTCCCAGCCTCTCCATGCGCCGGGCGGGACGTGATTGCGCCCCGTTCTCCAGACCTATTATGACACCTTACCACAGGGAAGGACTGCGCACTTACCCTAGTCCGATGACCTAGACGCATACATTGAGATGAAACTTTTCCAAACATCGTTGTTTACAATAATGTAGTCTGTAGCGCCTCTGTCCACCTGCAGTTTATTCCTTGTATCAGGTGACGTCATCAAGGCTGGCTTTAGTCTAATTCGTCGACCTTCTAGTCTACGGGCGCGCCCCTGCTACTTCAAGCCCACTGTAATGTTTCATTCAATTGGCGCCTGTACATGCGCCTTACATCCTCTCATGACTACGACGGTGGGCAAGGTTGGGCATCCTCGGGCTGATACATGAGTGGCTTGCTGCGCACCGGGTCACGCCCTCAGGTTGGCAATGCAGCCACATTTAGCCCCCATCCTTCGTGCTGTCAGCCGTGGCGGGCTACTTGAGCGTCGCGCCCCCGCTTTTCATCAACCATCCTCCTAGCAGCTTACAAACATTGCGCAACGGCAAACACCGACTCCTGAATGGCACTTGACGGTCTGGAAGCAAAGTTTGAAGAGTGCGCATTGAAAGAACCTCCTGAAGAACCCTGCGATGGCGCAAATGTAGCATCACCTTACGGCGAACGACTCCTTCAGCCTGATGAAATCCGACTCCTCACCATCGTTCGCGACACGGATACTGTGCGTCTGACCGTTACACCACACAAGTTTCAAGATGATCTCCGATTCGACGCGGTCTCCTATGTCTGGGGAGCAGTAGAAGCTTCTATCAACGTCCCTTGCAACGGAGGAAACCTTACAGTTACTCCAACTGTTTTCGAGATGCTCCATCACCTAACCCCGAACTACCCGTATTGGCTGGACTCTATATGCATCAATCAGCAAGACCCCGAAGAGAAGGCGGTACAGATACCGTTGATGCACCGAATCTACTCCCTCGCTGAGTTCGTCGTCATATGGATGGGCCTTCCCACGGCGCAGAATGAGCAGTTCGTGTTCGGGTTTTCCAGCGCACTGCGGATGGAAAGGGAGTGGAATTCGATGCTCGATCAGGATCTTCAACCCTGGGTTCTGGAACCGGATTTATTGCGCACAGATGAACCTTTCTGGCTTGGTATGACACAAATTTGCAAGCACGAGTGGTTTGAACGTCTATGGACCTTTCAGGAGGCAGTTCTTGCAAGACAGCCTATCATGCTGCTAGGACATCTTTGGTTGAAATTTGGAGAGTTTCTTGAATTCATCTGTGAAGGGTTCTTTAGAAAGACCGGGGCATATATTTACCAATGGCGGCGGCTTCTCGAAATTTTTGATGGCTTTGGGGGATCTATGAACCAGCTCCTGACCTTGAAAAGATGTCGCAAGGACGTTTTGTCAAACGGAGTGGTACCGATCCACAATATACCCTATCTTCTCAATTCGCTACGCAACCGACATGTAAGGGAGCCGGTGGATCGAGCCTGGGCAGTCACCGGATTGTTGAGCTATCATATCAGATCGAAGTTGGAGCCAGAAGTTGATTACAGCGATAACGCTCGGGTTGACTTCTGGGAAACGCACATGCGGTTCGCCAGGACAATCATAGCCGCAGAGCAAACGCTGTGTCTACTGGAAATACCGCCCACAATTGAGGGAAGGACACAATCATCTCCGTCCTGGTGCCCAGTTCTGGAGGGCGTTCCAGCGTGTTTGTTCTTGATAGTAGGTGCTTGGGCCGATCATGTAAGCGGACAAGAATATGAACAACTTCTACAGGAGGTTGTAGAAGAAGGGGTTCAAACGCAGCAATCTAGTGAACCGAGACAGCTGGAGATCCCATTTGTATCTCGCAAATTCATCTCATTTGGGAAGGAGACTAATTACCTGCACACTTGCGGTCATCTTTTGGATACAATATCAGAGGTCGTGGATAATCAAGAGCTGCGGGGGTGTTACGAACACGTGTTGACCGCAGACATATCAGCGCGAAAAATGAGCAATCCTGTACATGCGGCACATGTGGATGCCTGTACCCGTAGCCTCCGACTGGCTCGTCGAACGGCTCACCGAGCAGAAGACGATACCGACAGTGTACCTTCGGAGTATCTGATGGCTCTACTGATGGATACGAGGGTCTCTAGAGAAGCAGCGATGGCTTACAAGGACGGATGGAATATATTCAGAGATGGAGATCTCAACTATTATTACAAACTTCCAGCTGGGCGGCAATTGGGGGGGAAACTCTGGGCAGAAAGATTGCATATTACTGCTGGTCATTCTTTCTTCAGTACCACCGGCGGTCGCTTCGGTATCGCCACGCCAGGATGCAAGCCTGGTGATAAAGTCTGTGTCTTCTACGGCGAACACCCCCTTCATATACTACGGTGGGCAGAAGCCGAGCACGAAACCGGCGCACTCCATGGAGAAGGTCCTGCTGAGTTCTGCGGTGTTGCATTCATTCCTTATCTCATGAAGCCGCATGAGCAGGAAGCAGCTCGACTTGGACCGGACGAGATCTTTGTTATTGGGTAGCAAATCTCGTAAGCGGTAAGAAGGATCATTAGGCTGATAGCGTAATTGCTAACAACATCACAATGCAGTCTGATAGAACGATGGGTATAGAAGACCCTACGATCTCAAGTTTACCTATGTAAACCACAACCTTATGTCGCGAGTTGTTTTCTACTTACATCTACACCCTAGAGATACGCATTACACTTTGTCTCGTCTTGGGTTAATTGAAAGTTTGTCTCTGCAGACTACAACCTAGTTCCTCAAGTCCTTCTATACTTATTTAATACGCCCTGGAGATGCATACGCAGCTTTGTCTCGTCCTGCGTTAACGTAAGAAATAGCGAATACCTCCCAGCTGCTGCATGACTAAAGTATACACCACGTAAAAAGACCATGTTGGTATCAGCCCAGCCTCTAATCCAACACTTTTCCAGGCAACTATGTTTCCAGTTGAAGAGCAGTTGCGAGCCAAGCTCCAGGGCAACACAGAACTCTAGTAGTGTGTACCCGTGTGTGGAAGCTTTGTGTGTGGATTACAATCACATTCCGAGACAGTCTTTCACTGTGTTCTTAGATAAGCTGTTGCCTTATCCCAAACTGTATCAATCCACTTCCCTCTTTCTTAAAGGGTGCCTCGGTTACCGAGAAGCAAACATTCAGAGTATTCAGATCCATCCGACTACAAAAAGAAACGAATCCAACGGGCCTTCCAAGCCTTCCAAAAGTACCCCCTATCTCGTTTATTCGAATAATGGCCCTGACACCCCCCTATACAGCCTACCAAGGCGTCGGCGTACCCATAACCTTCGTCGTCGGCCCCACGGCCAAATCAACGCGATTCGACGTACACCACTCGCTTCTCTCAAAAGTCTCACCCTTATTCACTATGCCCAACGGCCTGCCCCGCATCATACTAAGCGATATCCTACTCCCCAACGCCGAACCTGATACCTTCCGAACCCTCTTCAAATGGCTATACGAGCGCCAACCCCCTGACTACACAACGGACGGGAAATTGTTAGACCTGATGAAACTGTGGGTAAGATATGTTCATGTACGAACGGGATATGAGACATTCACTGACTTGTCACACCCACGTCTTAGATATTGGCCGGCGAACTCGGGATCTGGAGGACTCAAAACACCGTTTTGAGGTTGGGTATGGCGCTGATGCAACCGAAGTACTTCATTTGTCGTCTAGACACGGTCAGATGGGTGTATGAGAATACATGCGCTGGATCACCGCTGCGTAACTACATCACCGCGATTTTCTGCCAACGCGGTCCACCCATCACGCCCTCTATGTTCTCACCGGAGAACGAGCAGCTTGGTATCTTCCGCGACGCAGTAGTATTCTTACGTACACTGAATCTAGTTCGCGCAGGCAATCCGACGGGAACGGGCGGATACAACCTCCATGCGCTGTTTTCTATTCATGATTCGTGGTCGCCGGGCGAAGGCGAGCTCGCGCCAGTGCGGGTTCGTGGATGTTTGGTAACGGGAGGAGAAGAAGTGGAGTGGATCAAGATCGAATATCCGCTCCCGTCCTTCCTAGTATGGGGCGCGAAGTGGGAAGTGTTGCCGGACATGCACTTTGTGAGCCAAGACGGCGTTCGAGCGGCGGCACAAGATTTGTTGAAGCAGATCGAGTTTTCGGATAGATCGGGCGCACAAAATATGTAGTGGCGCAGTGCTGCAGAGAAGTATGTAGACCTACAAACTCTGGACAATATCTCATGAATTTACGCCTGGTCTTTGGTCAGTAGACCATGCATTACAGAGTTTTGGGGTTAGAGTAGCACATCGTCATCTTCTTGACCTTCAGAAACTTGAACCTCTCAAACAAGTCACGGGGATACAAGATATCAAGCAAACATGCCAAGCGACTAGGATATGAAACAGATGTCTATTGTAGTGTCGACGTCGACTGTAGTGTACCAGCTTCCATTCCCACTGCGAGAAAGAGACTGATCAAGTAACAAATACTATCAAGATATCCGTATGTACCACCATTTTTGTGTTAAACAGGAAAAGAAACACGTAACGTTTGAGTGATGATGAAGTAAAGCGCGTAGCCACATGAGTCATGAGCAGCGCTTGCTATGAAATCAGGGAAAGGGTATTGCCAACAGCCAAGGAAATATGTATACAAACGCCAGTACCCCTTTAAACTCAGTTTTGTGGTGATACAATAGATATGGAATAAGAATGAATGATCATGAGGACTCATGTAGCGATGCAATACCTAACGTGCATGGTGCTGCCTTCGTTGGTGTCGCAGGAGGTTGTCCCTGCGAGAAAAGCCATCAAGGTTACCACAGCCGGGATGTGGGCAGAGGTATTTGTCCGTTGCCAAAGAAGAGTCGTTATGTTGTGGTAGGTGCCTCCGCAAATCTTTCGGATAGTCGAAGCTCATGGGACATTTCGAGCACACGTGAGGCTTATCGGTCAAATGTTTCTTCTGATGGCGACTGTAACGGTAAGCCGACAATCGAGTACGCTTGATCCAGTAGTAGGACTTACTTCAAATCACATTGACGGTTGAAAGTCTTACTGCAGCCATCCTTATCGCAATGGAAACCACCCGGGCGAGGTGCTTGTCGCTTCCGACTGCCTGGTGTCGCTAAGCGATCACCAGGGTTATAGGTATCTTCAACATGCGCTTGCACAGTGGCTGGCTGCACCATGGTCTCGTTCGCATCCATGACTTGGACGTGCTCTCTGAGCAAGGGTTGTCCCCCGTTGACGTAGTCGTATATCGGTGCTAGGTCTGGTTGCGTCCGATCGAAGCCGAGCGGTGGCATGTGCAAGACACTGGGGTCTACGTAGAAAGGGCTCCCTGCGCCATATTGGTTCTGAATGAAACTGTTAGCAGGCTCTGTGAGGAAGCGATCTGTGATCCTACCATGTGCGCGTGAATGCATTGGCATAAGGGCAGGCAGCAAAGCTGGCACAGCACGCCGTCGATGCCGGAGTAGGTTCCGTCCATGGGAGTGTCAGACACGATGAGGTCTGCAAACGGGTTTGACGCTTCCACCGGACCGGAGAGGACAGTAATAATTACTGTGAAGAGCAGCAGCGGGTACATGCTCCGGTGTGTATCTGGATGCCTAAGGACAGGAAGATGTGGGACCGACGAGAATGACGGAACTAGAATGTGAGAACGTCAACAGTATGTAAGATCAGACTGTGACAAGGTTGGCACACTATGGTGAAGAGTAGCAACGCAGGTGAGAAAAAAGTAGAGAAGAGGGCGTAAGGTCAATCGCAGCAGATGCATGCTAAGGGCAGAGGACTGGGGAGGGAGGCCGGCTGCCTGAGGAGCCACAGGTCACGGGCAGGTGTGGCTATGTTGATGATGTAGGTGTCGAGCAGCATTCTGGCGGCTTCGCTGCGTCTTTCGCGGCGATTCGGTCAGGTTGTTGGGTTAGCAGCGATGAAAGTGCACTCTTGATGCGATGCGACGTGCAATTGTGGTTGTGACGAAGGGACGAGCGACGGCGCCGTGCAGCGATCAATCCGACGGGGTACCTGCGCCATACCATTTTGAGACTTGGTGAGGGGTTGTGCCCGGCTCAACTCCCTACACTCGTGACTTTGGTACTGTGCAAATTATCGAAACGCTGTCGACCGCAAGATATGTGACTATCTGTCGATTATCCAGAATTTAGCGCTGTGAATAAATAGCAACGGACACCTGGAGCTGAGGTTTACCGCAGCCATTCCGTCGAATTTTGTCACGTGCCCGTGCGTCATCGCGCGGGAACGCGCGAAATTCACAGCTTTTGCCCAATGTTTGTTCACCCGCATCTTCCACCTCCTTTCACGCATCATTTTGTTTCTCCTAGCTCGGCAAGTGCTGGTATCTTCTCGTTGGTCTTGTCGCTTAGTGGCTCTCGTAGACGCAGGCGGCAATCAAGTGCGCGCTCGTAACTATGATAAGACGTTGAACATCATCACAAAATGTGATAACATCTCAAGAAGGTTCAGATGGATACCCTGAGGTTGAGGATGCGCACTCGATATATAACGGCGCGACACCTCCCAAGCCAGCCCTCAGCACAACACGCCACACGTCGTCAACGCAATAAGGCAACCACTGCAGCCGGTGTTGGTACTATTCATATCCCAGGTTGATGAGTCTCATCTGGCGTTTATCCCTTTTGGATACTGGCAGCGGATACTGCATGCTTCGCGTATATCTCATGTCCAATCGTTCGTTGAGGCGTTCCACGATGTTCAAGGCGGGCGGCCTCCCTGGCAGCAGTCGAGACAATATCCGTAAGCAAGGCTCGTCCAAAGAGCATCCTATTATAACTCGGTGCTACCATGCCCGCCTGCTGCGCCTTTTATATGACTCACAGCTTATCGTGCACTTGACCACTTTGGTAGGTACCTTGTTGAGTAGCTCACTAGTAAAGCTGGCATGCATGCGACAGCTGCCCCGCATTGCGAATCAGAGCTTCAGATGCGCCATTACTTCATGAATCGACGCCTCTCGCGATCAGGTGTCTAGAAACCTGAGGCTCACCCTTAAAACAATATGCTTTCTATACGTGGCCGCAATTATGCGGCTTTAGATCTGGCTGCAAGCTACACGAAAGATCGTGGCCTCCCCTACGACAAGTCCAAGCATCCAGCAGGTCTAGTGTCTTTTAGAAATGCGGAAAACGTAAGCAAGAGTCGAACATCATGATTGTCATACTTTGATTACCAGAGCTAAGGTACCGAATAGTTTCTCATGCGCGAAAGAGTGCTCGACTACGTAAAGACCAAGGTTGGTCTTTGCCCTTGAACGAGAGGGACTCACTTAACATATTGTGTAGTGCGTTCCTTCATTTGAACTCGAAACCTTGACCTATCATGACGGCCCGTTCGGCTCTAAACGCTTACGACAAGCAATGGCTACTTTCATCAACAAGCGCTTCTTGCCCGCATCAGCTGTGGCGATGGATGAAGTGTCCTTTGTCAGCGGTGTGACGGCATTGAATGACATCTTGTCACTATGTCTGACCGATGGAGAGGATGAAGGTTTGCTCCTTGGCATGCCGATATATGGCTCTTTCAACCCAGATATGCGAAGCATGTCGAAGTGAGTCTCGACGTGCCAATAGATGCATTTAGCAGCCACTGAACTTGGAGCAGCTGCAAGTTGGTTTACACCCCATTCCATGGCGTGGATCAGTTCATTACCGGAGCGGTCGAATGTTATGAGCGGGCTCTTGAAGAAGCGGGCCGAAATGGAATTGACGTGAAGGCACTTGTCATTTCCAACCCGCACAATCCTCTTGGCGCGTACCATGCACCTCCGTAAAGAGCCGTCGAACTGACTGATCCTTCCAGGGCAGTGCTATACTCACAAAGCTCTCGAGGCCATATTACGATTCTGTGCAAAGCATAGGATACATCTCATCAGCGATGAAATCTATGCTCAGTCAGTGTATCGAACGGATGAGTCTCATCCAGGCTTTACATCAGTACTCTCTGTTGATATGACTGGTATCATTGATGACAAGCTTGTCCATGTGATGTACGGGATGTCAAAGGTCAGGTCACTCATGTTTGGGAAACCACTTTCACAACTGATGCGTTGATAGGACTTCGCCGCTGCCGGTCTCAGACTAGGATGTCTGGTCACAAGAAACGAAGAGTTGGGTCAAGCTGTGCAGTCTCTAGCGTACGTCTACTTAGACACCCAGGTACAGCTAAGAATGCTAATCTGTCTTCTTGGCACAGACGGTTCCATGGCGCATCGCCAGTGACAGACGCTATAGCTACCACTATACTTGAGGACGACGATTGGCACGACCAATTTCTAGTCGAGAGTGCAAGGGTGCTGGGTGAACACCAAGAGCTTGTCACAAAGGGACTTGACGAAGCCGGAATTCGCTATAACAAGCAAGCGTAAGTACACCCCAGCGTTTTCGAGTTGTTGCATTAGATGAGTCACTGACAGGACCATATGGCCTAGTAACGCTGGGTTTTTCCTCTGGATCGATCTCTCGGCGTGTTTACGGAGCGCGACGTGGCAGGGTGAGGATGAACTGAGACACGCGCTGTATGATCACGGCGTAGAGATGTCAGCCGGCCACGCATATCATGATGAAAAGCCAGGTAATTTCCGCTTTCTTTTCTCAATGGATAGAGATACTTTGGAAGAAGGCCTGAGAAGAGTTATTGGCTTCCACGAGGCTCGTAGGCTAGACCGGTCTTGATCGCGGCTAGCAAATAAGCAATTATGATGCACGGGATAAATTGGCTCGGGACTGGAATAGTAAGTTGTCAATGCAGGAACATTGGACAATGTGCCTGATATGACGTGATATGCTCGTGACCGCGCGAAAGGGCGCCACGCGACTGTGGGTCCTTGCACGAGATCGTTCCGCCAGATCGGAATTCCAACAGGGGAAAGTGCGTCATCATTCCAGCCATCTAGCCTCAACCCTCACAAACAAGTCGCACCACGCCTGTCCCTATGTCACGATCGCGTTGACGATAACCAGGCATCAGAATGCCGCCCATCCTCTCCCGAAAGCGCTCGCGATCCGCCTCGCCGCAAACAGAACCGCCACCGAAGCGTGCGCGCGCTCGCAAAGCTACTGCACCCACGCGCAAAGGCAAAGAGTCCGTCTTCGAAACCCTCGACGCACCGCCAAAGGCCAAGCTCACGCTGGCCCAGACCAAAGCCCTGTTGGAACAAGAAGATGATGACAGCGAGTTGTCAGAACCGGAGAGCAGCGAAGATGATTTCGAAGATGTTCCGTTGAACGGCGCAAACAAAGGCAAAGGCAGGGGAAGGGCGAAAGCTGGTGGTGATAGCGACGAGAGCGAAGCCGACGATTGGGAAGACGCGCTTGGTGCGCAGAATAACAATAAAACAGACCACGGTCCTGCGCCCGTCATCACTGGCGACATCGCCCTCACCCTGTCCGCCGCGCCAAAGACCGCCTTCGACTCGAAATCGGAAGGGCAAAAGGGCGCATCCAAGATACAGCGGCAGATACGAAATGTCACACATTGTATGCACGTACAGTGCCTGATGTACCACAATCTCATCAGAAACGCTTGGATACAAGACAAGGAAGTGCAGAAGATACTAGTGGAAGGCATGTCGGCCGGCTGCTGGCGCGAACTGGAGAGGTATTGGGATAACGCCGGAATCACAGACGGCCCTAGTCTTGTCGTTGTGCAGAGGGCGCCGAGTCCTCCACCCAAGCAGGTGACGAAAGAAAAGAAGGGTACATGGAAGAACAGCGGAAAGAACGGCGTCAAAGTGTACGAAAGCCCGCAGAAGCGATCGTCTGCTCGCGAAGACAAGAAGAAGGCTCCCGTAGGCAAGGGCAAGGGCAAGGGCGATGCCAAAGGCGCCAAGAAGGGTCGCGATTGGAACGCGACATCTGAACCGCTTGAGCCGAAAGCCCCAAACATGTCAGCTGGGGACCCTCTGCTTCGCCTCCTCAAGTATCTCTCTGCGTATTGGAAGTCCAAGTTCCAAGTCACAACTCCGAGCCTACGCAAACGCGGCTACCTCTCGCCATCGACGCTAGAAGCCGAGATCAATACCTGGAGGGAGAACCCCGACCATCCCGATACTTTTGGCGAGCGAGTGGAGAATTTAGAAGCATTCCGCGACAGAGCTCGTAAATGTGAGGGGAGCAGGGACTTGGGAGAGCAACTGTTCACCGCTTTAGTACGAGGGCTCGGCATAGAGGCCCGCATGGTAGTCAGTCTACAGCCAATTGGTTATGGCTGGAATCAGGGCGAAGAAGGAACTCCTAAGAATCTAGAGAAACTGAAGGATGTAAAAATTGCCGACAGTAACACTGCTTCGAAATCAGCAGTTACGAACGGCAGAGCGAAACCTCTCGGCGGTACAAACAAGGGTGGCAAAACGGCCGAAGTTGACCCGGACGATAGCAGCGACCTGAGCAGTGTCATATCTATTTCTTCGGGATCAGAAGATGAGCGGCCTACTAAGAAAGCGCCAAAGCCACGCAATCCCCGCGATGAACTACCATTTCCGACCTACTGGACAGAGGCCATCTCTCATCTCACCCATACACCTATAGCTGTTTCGCCGCTTCCCAA